ATATACAGAGCCTTTAAAATTTAAATCTTTACAGACCAAAATCTCTCCTCCCAGAGTCAAATGCGATACTGTCTTTCATTCCTTAAAAATGTACCTTTACTTGCACATAGACCTGCACGGAAAACTGCTTGGTGCTTTCCATGTGGAGTACCAGGGCATCGTGTTGCAGAGCACTTCTTCACCTCGCTTTTTTTCATTCAGCATCATGGTTTTGCAATTAGTCCTTGTGGATGCAAATAGATTTAGAAATATGACTGTACAGGTGACACCCAAGCTTCAAGATTACAGACCAAGCTTCCACCACTTACTGCCTGTGTGATTTTATGGTCTGTGTCTCAGTTTCCTCTAGGGGAAATTAGGGTACCCTAGAAGAGCACCTGTTAGGATTGATAAAAGGAAATGAGGTGCTTGTAAGTGCTCAGAGCTGCACCTGACCTTCCGGGAGGGCTGGGAACGCCCAGAGAATGTTTGACCAAAAACCAGTTGCACTAGGTTATTGATGAATTTGGAGATCCACCACACTTATATAATTTTGAATCCCTCCCACATGTAATATCACTTCTCACTTTTTCAGCTCGTTTCAGTCCTTTGTTAAACACTGAGAATTTTTAAAGACGTTTTGCACATTTTTAACAGAGTTTTAGGCACGTGTGTGGCTTTGTAATCTCTGCTGCAATGACAGCGCTCTTTGGCTATTGTTTGTAACGGAGCACCCTCCATTTGCCTTTATTGGTTTTGTGTCTCAACCCCTTGATGAACGTGTCCATTGACGCTTTTTAATTTTCAATGCTCATGATCACGTTGCTAAGAAAGTGAGTCCAGTATCTCCTTTCCAATATCAGGTGTCTAATTCCTTATTGCACCGGCCAAGAGCCTCAGATTAAGGTTGAATAGTGGAGAGAGTAGCCAGCTTCCTTATATGAGGAAGCCGGTTTAATGGGAATTAATAGTAAAATTTCCAGACCTACTTGCTAGAATGTTTGTTCCTCTTTTTCATTTCATATACCTTTAGGTTTCCTTAGCTGAGCTGTTTTCCACTGGCTACTCAGGAACAGTTTCTGCCAGTGCACTTCTTACTAGTTCTCTCCTATTTATAGTAGTTGCTCATGAAAATAAAGACAGAGTAACTGCAGAAAAGGCCTGCTGACACAGTGCCAGAGGAGACGGAGTTCTCCACATCTTTTCAGAGGGAGCTGGAGAAACAGCCCCCAGACTTTGACCCTAGTCTCTCTCTCCACCCCTTGGTGCTACCACCTAGCAAGGTCTTCTTTCCCACTGACCCTTCTTTTGTGTGTTTCATGAATCCCGCTGTTACGCCATTTCCCAGAGAAATCAGGCAGCACTCAGAGAGGTGAAGAGAGAGAAATTCATTTGTCACACCGCCAGGCTTAGTGGGATAGCTCCCGAAAGTCTGAGTCCCGAATTGTGGGAATGGTAAGGTTTTATTTTATTTTTTTTAATATTTATTTTATATTTATTTATCCAAGCACTGGGTACAGTCAGAAGCACGGGAGGGTGAGAGAATTCACCAGAGCCAGAGCGGGACGCAGAGCAGGCAGAAGGACTGAAGGACACTGCTGAGGGGAGCAGCAGGCGGCAGGAGAGGTCTGCGCGCCATGCGGGACCCTCCTCCGGTGGCTGGGGAGCAGCCGGGGATCAAACCTGCGCTGCAGAGGCTGCAGGCAGCTTCGCAACCCAGCGCTCAACCACTGCGCCACTGGGGAGGCCCAGAATCCCCTTTTTTACTTCTGTGTGGCTAAGATTTTAATTTCTTCCTTCTCTGGTTTTGATGTGTTTGAGGACAGGGCAAATTTCAGGTTGCATTCTACCTTGAACTGGAATTATGAATTTTCTCCCCAAATTTAAACTTAATCAGTCATGACAGGTGGGGACGGAGCAGGACAAGGCAAGCACACTGGGAAAGCAGCACAGTCAACAAAGCATCTGGCCCACCCCCAGCCCACTCTGCAGCCAAGTCACAGGGGCCCCCTGTGGCTCACACAGTCCTAAAGCACTGGGCACCATCTGTGTCTCCTCCAGGGAGGAATTGTGAGGTCCCCGGCCCTAGGGCAGCCCCTCAGCAGCCCCTCATTCAGACACAGCAAGTATCAGTATCCGGAGTGTCCCCATGTTGGTCCTCTGTCCCCAAGTCATTCCTTGGGGTCCTGCCTGCCTGCCCTTTGTCCCTTAACATGAAAGCTCTAGTCTCTTCTTTTTTCTCCCATGTAGTCCTTTTTTTTTTTAAATGATTTTTTTTTTAAGATTTATTTATTTATTTATAACATACAAGCACTGGGTACAGTCAGAAGCACGGGAGGGTGAGAGAATTCACCAGAGCCAGAGCGGGGAGCAGAGCAGGCAGAAGGACCGAAGGACACTGCTGAGGGGAGCAGCGGGCGGCAGGAGAGGTCCGCGGGCCATGTGGGACCCTCCTCCTCCGGTGGCCGGGGAGCAGCCGGGGATCGAACCGGCGCTGCGGAGGCTGCGGGCAGCTTCGCAACCCAGCGCTCAACCTCTGTGCCACTGGGGAGGCCCTCCCATGTATTCCTTGATGACTATTCAGGATGACAGACACCAGGAAGAGCTTACACACCCCTAGACTAATCCCAAACTGGTAGAAATATGAGACTCACCTTTCCCTTTCCCCAGGGGTTCAGATTTTAGAGACTCCAGGTTCTGTCTTGTAAATCAGCACAAAGAAAAACCTGTTGAGTGTTTATGACCAGACATGGTTGAGCTGTGCATCTTCTGTTACTTGCTCTTCCTCATGTGGTCACTTTGCATCTTGCAAAGACAATTTCCTCCCACCGTACAGGGCCCAGACCCACCCAGGGGCTGCGTGCTACAATGGGTGGTGACTCGTGGCCCGAGGCGATGTTTTCCTACCTCCTCTGTGAACCCACATTCTCTTTGCCTCCTGCCAACACACAGCTGCTCAGAGGGCTTTCCCAGCTGGGGCGACCTGTCAAAGATGTCATGTCTCTCCAAATTGATCTACAGACCCATCAAAAATGCTGATCAAAATCCCATCAAGGCTGTCTGTGGAACTGGAAAAATGGATACTAAAATGTGTACAGAACAAGGACCAACAACAACCAAGGCAATTTCAAAGAAGGTGGGGGTCCTGCTGGGCTAGGCAGAGACTGTTGTAAAGCTATAGTGAGCAAGACAAGCAAACCTCTCCCTCCCATACATGGTGCTGATTTACCATAATCTGCCAGAAATTCTGCAACTTTGCTTTTGATTTCTCTTTGACATAAATCATTTTAAAAGTAACTCATAGGGCCTCCCCTGGTGGCGCAGGCGGTTGAGCGCAGCGTTGTGAGGCTATCCGCAGCTTCTGCACTGCCGGTTCGATCCCTTCTGGCCTCGGAGCAACCCACATGGTGGGCAGACCTCTCCTGTCTCGCCCGCTGCTCCCTTCAGCAGTGAATTTCGTCAGTCTGCCTGTTCTGTTCCCTGCTCTGTCTCTGGTGAATCCTCTCACCCTCCTGCCCATCTGATCTGTATCCCGGTTCTTGTATGTATGAATAAATAAATCTAAAAAAATAATAATAATAAAAATAAAAGCAACTTATATACAAATTATCAGTTAAATATTTTTTTAAACTTTTTTTTAAGATTTATTTATTTTTATTTTATGTTTTTAAATTTTATTTATACAAGCACTGGGTACAGTCAGAAGCGCGGGAGGGTGAGAGAATTCACCAGAGCCAGAGCGGGGAGCAGAGCAGGCAGAAGGACCGAAGCACACTGCTGAGGGGAGCAGCGGGTGGCAGGAGAGGTCTGCACCATGTGGGACCCTCCTCCAGTGGCCGGGGAGCAGCCGGGGATCGAACCGGCGCTGCAGAGGCTGCGGGCAGCTTCGCAACCCAGTGCTCAACCGCTGCGCCACCAGGGAGGCCCTATCAGTTAAATATTTTAACTGTAAACTTTAGAGTCTTTTTGTTTCCTTTTTTGGTCAATGCCTTACAATGAGACTGTCATTTGACTCATGTTCTAAAACTTTCCCCGAGGCATGATATATGGTTGTTACAATAACTGTCCCAAGAACAGCACCCTCTCTGTTTTCCTTTTGCAGAGTTTGAAATTCGTGGTTTCCAACTGCCAAAGTCCTGCTCTTCCCAGGCGTTTCTCAATGCCAGGGGGTGCACTTAGTGCCCAGAAGCTTGAAACTCTGGTCACTTCACATGTCCCTTGCTTTCATGAGAGATGGCGCGTGTATGGGGTGGGGGTGGGTGGGTTCTGAAAGATTAGTGGGAACGCCAGCTCCACCATCATAAATCATGTCTCCCCTTCAGTCATTGTAATTATTTCCTTTGAGTTTATCATCTCTGACAATTTGATAAGCAGTAGCCACCGTCCCACCAGGGAAACCCTCTCTGATGGATGTTGTTACGTTCATTCATCTGGGATACATCGCCCTGGCCGAAGTCATAAAGACATGTCTTTAAACAAAATAATAATAAATTTATTTATGCATACAAGAACTGGGGTACAGGCGAGAGGTGTGTGTGGGGGGGTGAGGGGATTCACCAGAGACAGAGTGGGGAGCAGAACAAGCAGATCTACTGACATCCATTGCTGAGGGGAGCAGCGGGGAGACAGGAGAGGTCTGCTGTGCCGTGTGGGTCACTCCCTGGTCGGAGGGGATTGAACTTGTGCTGCAGTGGCTGTGGGTATCTTCATGGTGCAGCATCTTAATCCCTTGGGCCACCAGGGAGGCCCATTACATTTTCTTCGTTAGGATTTTCTTTCTCTTCCCAGGTAGGTGGACCCAATCGCAGATTTCTCCATCTGGACACCATGGATATTCTGGGCTATCTGATTGGGCACTGGCCTGTGCCAATGTGGACACATGGCAGCATCCTTCAGTCCTGTGCCACCAGTGCTGACAACAAAAATGTCTCCACACATCGCCTAATCTAATCTGGGAGACAAAACCACCCCATATGAGAACCACTGATCTACATGGTTGTCTACGGTGTGAGGTAAGGATCCAGAACTTTTTTTCAACATGGCGAATCAGCTGTACTGACACCTGCAGTGTGGAAACAATTCATTCAGGAGAAACCTTACTTTGGATTTTTGAATTCTGATCTTTTCCTGCTAGTAATAGGTCCTATGCTCCTCTCTGGTGATGCACAGCCCCAGACAGCCGAGGTTATGAGAGCAACTGTTCCGCTCTTCACTTTAAGTTTGGCTTTCAGTGAATCACACAGGTGCTCCCTGGTGAGCTAGTGGTGAGGATGGGTCCTCAATAAATGTTACAAGAGCTGTGTGATTTCATTATAAAACAGACTTTGTGGGCCTCCCTGGTGGTGCAAGGGGTTAAGCATGCACTATGAAGCAATTGGCAGCCTCTGCAGCACAAGTTCGATCCCCGGCAAGCCAGGGAGAAACCCACATGGCGCAGCAGACCGCTCCTGTCTTGCCGCTGCTCCCCTTAGCAGTGTATTTCAGTCTGCCTGCCTGTTCTGTTCCCCACTGTCTCTGGTGGACCCTCTCACCCCCTGCGTCTCTGGCCAGTACCCCAGCTCTTGTATGCAGAAATAAATCTTAAAAAAAAAACAGACTTTGTGTTAGATGATTTGGCTTACGTGAGTATTCTAAGTACGTGAGTGTCGGCTGTGACAGTTGGTGGGTTGGGTGTATAACATGCATTTCGGGCTGCCAGGCATCAGTCTGTGGGGAAGGATGTGACAATGCCAGCCTCCTGGAGCCTCCCGTGGCAGGGCCGGGGTGGGCATGCCTAGCTGACATGCTCGCTTGCAAGCTCAAGCCAACTTTTTCACCAAACTGAGTGTTTTACCACCAAGGATGGCCTTGAAGAGGAGCCCAGGCACAGGCATCCCTCGCTGCCACTGCCCTGCGGCACACAGGTTGCCTCCTTCTGGGCCTCCTGGGATGTGCCCCGGAAGAGCAAGCCATCCACCAGTTGTCTCAGCAAGACATCACTTCCTGAGGGGTTCCCCTTTTGGGGTGCTGGTAGGAGTTCTGGTGCTGACAAGGCTCCCCAGAGAAGCGTCTGCTCCCCAGCTATACTACAGGAACCCCCCTCCAAGGTTCTTCCCCTCAGGGTGTCCCTGGGAGGCCAGCCCTGCTCACACACCAATGTTCCTGCTTTGCCAGGGTCCCTCACCACCATGGAAACCCCTCTGCCAGGTGGCCAAGGCTGGGGGGTTCTCTGTCCAGCCGCCAGCCCTCAGCCATCTGGTGAGAAGAGGAGGGAGCACCCAGCAAGGTGGTGCTGCCCCTCCACCAGACACCTGCCTGCACAGAAGTGACCAACCCCCATGCCCCTCCTCAGCAGGGCCCTCTGACCCTGCTGTCCTGGCCCAAGGCCCTGGGCAGGCGGGCTGCAGGAACCAGCACGCTACATGAGGCAGCCCTTCCGCGCTCCCCACTGGGGACCTCCAGGGCAGGGACCACATTTAACACAGACTGGGGTGAGGGCTCCAGCAAGACACCCCGACAGTACTTTAGGATGCCAGTACCCTGGTCGGCTGCCCAGGCTCTCCCCCGAGCCTGAGGGTCTCAGAGCCCCTTCCCAGGAAGCTCACTGCTCACGGTCTTGGAACTTTTATTGGTCCCGGGAAAAGGGAGGCGGCGCCCGCCCCCACCCCGTGGCCTCCTGGGGCCACCAGCCTCACTGTTTCCCATTGCCATTGATGGGGCGGTTCACGTGCTCGGGGGAGGCCAGGAAGGCCTTGAGCTTGGGCCGGGCGCTGAGACGGGCCACGTAGGCTGAGAGCAGGGGGAATGCGTCCAGGCAGCCGGGGGCCAGGACCTGGTGAATCAGCAGCAAGTCCAGCAGGTTGTAGTCGGCGAAGGAGATCTGCAGGTGGGAGCAGAGGGGGTGGCACAGAGAGCCTGAGCCATCTGCCTAGTTTTGCTGACCAACGGCCCGTGTGTCTCTGCGCCGCTGCTATCTGTACGCAGAGGGTCGCGACAGGGGCCGACAGGGCTGCACCTCACCTGGTCGCCCACGATGAAAGCCTGGCCCCCCTGGTTCTGGGACAGCAGGGTCTCAAAAGGCTTGAGGTGTCCAGGCAGTGCCTTCACATAGTCCGCTTTGCCAGCCTCCTGCCAGGAAGACATCAGAGCTCATCACCTTCCTGACTGTCGCATGCCACCAGGCCTCCCACCCAAGAAGCCCCCTCCTCTCGTCTCATCTCAGTGAGTCTCCACCCACCCAGGGCCCGGGCCCCAGGCTAGAGCCGACGCTTGTCCGGTTCGCCAGCTGGTTCCTCTCTACTCCATCCCCACTGTGATGAGGCCACCCTGAGAACCCCGGAAGGCCCTGCTGAGCCTCACATCCTGGCACAGCCCACTGAGACATCTCAGCGGCGCCCCTGCCAGTGTCCAGGCCAGCCGGCTCAAGGCCCTCCAGGCCCGCAGCCCCTCTAGCTCCATCTCCCGACACACCTGACCCTGCCTGCTCAAATGTGCTCCATCTCCACGTACTCTGTGCTGGCAAAAGTGCCAGCACCCCCAGCTCAGGTAATGGTGACCACCTCTGCCCTGCACTGCTCTGCTATTGCCATATCTGTGGTGCATCAGCCCCTGGGCAGGGTGGGGGCTCACTGGGCCTCACCCACATGGGCTTCTGGTACCCAGCACAGTGCCTGGCCCAGGCCCAGCAGCTGGCTGAGGGAGGCAGGGGGTCAGATGTACAGAGCCCCCCTCTGTTCCTCTACATCCCTCCCTCAACCCCCTGTGCCCGCACTCACGTAGTTGGTGTAGATGAGGGTGACGTACTTGCAGCGGAGGTCCTCCACGCCGTCATTCACCACGTCCACTAGGGCTGCCTCGCGCTGGTCCTTCCCATACAGCCCTGGGGGCCAGGAGGGTGGACCAGTGACTGTGTGCGGACACACAACTGCCACCTGGCCGCCGACGGGGAGGAGGGTGGACGGAAGGATGGTGCTCACACAGTAGGTGCCCAGAGCCCATTGGGAAGGGCCTGGCATGGGGCCAGGGTAACAGGCCCGCCTGAGCCTGACCTTTGGCAAGTTGTATAAGCTCCACTCTGTGCGGCTGATATGCACCCACCGCTGCCCCACCGCTGCCCCACCGCTGCCTGGGGCCCCAGCACTCACCCAGGGAGCGGCCCAGGTGCCGCAGGATGGCATTGGACTGGTACAAGGTGAGGTCTCCGTCCTGGAACTTGGGGAGCTGCCCGTACAGCTGGGGGCAGCACAGGTCCATGAGGGGTGCTGAGCTTGCCCCCCATCCTACTCTGCCTGCCCAGGTGCAGCCTCAAAGCCCCTCCCACACAAGCACTCACACAGGAGGCCTTGAGAGGGCCCTGCCGCCAGGCGTCCATCGTCACCACTTCCTCCTTCCAGGTCTGGCCCTGGTCGGCCAGCAGCATGCGCATGGCCTCGCAGCGCCCTGGCGGGGAGACATTGTGTGGGGACGCAGACCCCAGCCTCACTGCACCCCGGGAGCGCAGCGCCATGATGAAGCAGCAAGCTAGGGTGGGGGAGGTGCGACCGTAGCCCAGGGAGCTCAGCAACACAGCACAGGAGGGGGTGCAGCCGGGAGAGGAGAAAGGAGGGGGCCCCCCGGTGGGGGAGGGTGGTGGGCTGCAGCCTCTAACCCCTGCCGCCCCAGCCTCACAGCCCCTACCTCGAACAGGGAAGTAGACGACAGTGTAGGGTGGCACTGCAGGGGACAAAGAGAAGTTTGTCAGAGTTGGGGGGAAGAGAAGAGGGGAGAGCATCCCATGACCTGCTGGGAATCCCCAGGCCCTTATCTCTGATCTGGGGGCCCGGGTCGGCCTGAGCGCCCCAAGCTCATACTGGTGGTGTCCAGGGTCCCGGGATCTCCGTCCGGAGCTGGAGTTGGGGGTGAGGTGGGGGCAGGGAGACGAATTTTCTGGAAGCCCCCGGCGGGAAGCTGGGAGTCCCAGGCGAGCATGGGGGCCCCCTCCCCCGAGCCCCCGGGAGCCCTGCCCGCCCTCGGAGCCCCGGGAGCCCCGGGGGGCGCACTCACTGGTTCCGCGCGGGAGCGGCGGTCGAGCTGTGGCGCGGCCCGGCCCCGGCGCCTTATAAGGGGCGCCCCGCCCCGCGCTCCCCGCGCCGCCCCGGTGCTGAGTCATCGCGCGGCCCACCCGCCCCGCGGCCCACCCGCCCCGCGGCCCACCCGCCCGCGCCCCGCCCCCGCGCCCCGCGCCCGCGCCCCGCGCCCCGCGCCCCGCGCCCCGCGCCCCGCGCCCGCGCCCCGCGCCCCGCGCCCCGCCGCGCGCCCTGGAGCTCGCGAGCCGGCGCCCGGGGCTGGGGGGCGCACTGCCGGGCTGGGGCACGGCTTTCAGATCTTCCAGAGGCTTTAGGGCCCCTCCCCCCCCCCCCCCCCCCCCCCCCCCCGCCGCCCCCGGGTGCAGCCGCGGTGCAGCCCTTGGTCCCCGTTGGCCAAGGTCCAGGCCACACGCGGCACTTCCCGGCCATCCCGCCAGCACCACCTTCCACCGTCACAAGCAGCTGCTCCCCGGGGGCTTCAGAGCTCACTCAACCTGGGCCAAAGCTGCCCGACGCGGGCCTCCCCAGCCCCAGCGCCCGCCGCCCGGCGAGCCCCGGAAAGCAAAAAAATGAAGCAAGGGGACAGTTGCAAGTAGATGTCACACCAGCAGAACCTTCCCCTCCCGCTGCCGGCTCCCGGGCAGCCCTCGGCTCCCTCTGCGGGGCTCTCCCCAGAGGGCCACTTAGACCTCCTGCCTCTGCCTCGGGGGCCAGGCCCCTCAGCCCCTCAGCCCCCTCAGGGGGCCAGGTTCACCCTCCGGCGCTCCATCCTCACCATCTACCTGTGGGCTGGAGCCTGGGTCTGGGGGAGGGCGTGTGTGTGCGTGTGTGTGCATATGTGTGTGTGTGTGTGTGTGTGTGTGTGTGTGTGGAGTGGGTATGGCTCTCCCACCACCCTCCTGCCACTGAGGCCCCGGGTCTCTGTTCCCTTCGCCGCTGGGAGAGGACTTTAGCCTCACCCAACCTCTCTGCTTGCCCTGGGGTGTGCAGCTGCCTTTGCCTTCCCCAGCCCTCTGAACTCCTCAGCGCCTCGCTCCACCCCCTCCACCAGGTCTCAGGGTGTCGGGTGGTCCTGGGCTGGACGAGCATGTTGGGCGGCAGGGGTTTGTGTGTGTGGTGCCCCTCAATGCCTAGTCTGATAACTGGTCTGCGCAGGGCCCCCACTGTTTGCATTTGTTTACGTGTGCCACCCTTCTCCCACATTCCATCCTTATTTCCAGCAGGTGAGAGTCCTGGGCTGCATGCCCAGAGGCGGAGCTGCAGCCCGGGTCTGAGAACCCGCCATTTGCATGAGTCAGCCAGGTGGCCCTCCCTGGGGCCTTGGGGAGCTGTTGGGTTTCCTTTAGACTCACACCAGCCGTTAGGTTGAGACCGAGGGGGTACCCACACCCCAAACTGGTAAGTGGTGTGCACTCGAAAAGGGTTCCTGCTGCCCGTCAGCACCAAGGCAGAGGAAGCGACTCTGAGTGTGAAGGTTTTAAATAGAATTGGTGTGCGTGGAGGCAGAGACAGAGATGGAGAGACGGTTTCAATGTGGGAGCCTGGGCTTTTGTGTGTCTCAACTATTCTATCTTTGCCTGAATTGTTCCTTGCTTTGACTGTTCTGTGCCTCTTAGTGAGCAGAACTGTAACAGGGGGTTCCCCAGGAAAGGGGGAGGTTCCAGGTTTCCGGCCCCAGCCAAGGGAGGGTGGAGCTGAGCAGGGAGAGAAGCTGCTGGGGAGACTGAGGAAGGAAGGAAGTAGGATGGAGCCAGAAGGAGCCCTGGAGGAGGCGCATGGAGCGGAGAGTCACGTGAAGAAACTGCACTTGTCTTGTGGTCGTGGACTGGGTGACACAGATGTGGGTGAGACCTGTGGGGAGGTGACAGTGGCAGCTTTTATCTTGATTTTGATTTTGCTCTTTCCCTCCAGATTTGTCTGGTTGTTTCTGATCCTTTTCTGTGGGTCCCCACTGGAAGGTGCTTTAGACTTGTGGCAGGCTTTGGGGCCTTGCTCTGGGCCAATCCCCCTTGGATGGAGTTTTACCCACGAGGGGACGGGTCACTTTGGGTGCTTGATTTAGGAACTAGATTCTTTGCCTTTCCTGTATTGTTTCCTCATTGTATTAAAGTTCCTTCCCATTAAAGTCTCATGTTTTGTGCTGATGCGGCGGATGGCAGAACCTACTTAGAGCAGGCAGGTTTGCGGGGTCTGGGCTGCCCGCTCCCTGCCCTGTAACAGAACCAGGGAAAGTGGATAAGGAACCTCTCGGGGCAAGAGTCCTGGTGTGAGGATCTCTAGGCGCTGGACACAGCAGGTGCAGCATCAGCAGGAGATGTCATGGTGCGAGAGGCGTAAACACGCAGACTTTCCTTGACTTCCTCCCTGTTTCCCACCCTTGGCTGGGGCCAGCTGGTCCGCATCCCCCACACACTTGTGCATCCCATTTGCCTACTGCTTCTTTGATCTTTTTGTTTTCTGTCTGATTCTGAATAGAAGCGAGACTGCCCTTGAGCTGGCTGCACCTTCCGGTGGCTCCCTCCAGGCTTCCTGCTCTGCACATGGACCTTGAGGAATCCTTTTCATCCCACTGCCACATGTCAAATGAATGAATTTTCCAGTAAAAACCCCCAAATTATTCATCTTCTTATGAGCAAACGCCCAGCCAAATGGGCTGGGCCCCTAGCAGGGCAGCTGAGGCCTGAAGCATGCCACAAGGCTAGGGTGCCTTCTGGCGGGAGCCACACAAAGGGCGAGGCAGGCCCCAGAGTGGGGGACAGGAGCGGCTCAGCACCCGAGCTGACCACATCTGGACAGCGGCTGCATTGTCTGCCCAGGATGAGGGGCCGCCCCCCCACATGTCTCTCACCACGTGTCTTCCTCCATCTCTCTCCTCCGCGAGTCTCCCGGGACCCCCTGCACATGTGCCCCGCCCTGGTCCTCCTCCCTTCCCACCTGTCTCCTGCCCAGCGGCCCCATTCAGGACATCTGGTTCTCTCATCCAGGGCAGCCCATGTAAGTGGGGCGTGGGGAATTGGTGCGTGTCGGGGGCTGCAGTGCCCTCCCCGTGCACAGAGGGGCCTCTGTGTCTGGTGCCCACGTCCTCTGACGCCTGGCCTCAGCCGCCTAGGGGCTGCCCCGTAATGCAAAGCCACCTGCTGTTTCCGGCCGCCTGCCCCTCGTGACCAAGGACTGTGATCACTTCCTGGGCTTGCTGGGTTTCATCTTCCTCTTCTGGAAATAGCCACTTCAAATCCTTTCACCACTTCCTATTGGATTCCGCCTACTTTCTGTTGAGTTGCAGTTCTTCAGTCCCTCCAGATATTAGTGTCTCGGCGGCCTTAGATGTTACAGATACCTCCTCCTATTCTGTCAACTTAAAAAAAAAAAAAAGATTGATTTATTTATGCATTCAAGAGCCGGGGTGCAGGCCAGAGGTGTGGGGGGTGAGAGGACCGAGTGGGGAGCAGAACAGGTGGATCCACTGAAATCCACTGCTGAGGGGAGCAGGGGGGAGACAGGAGAGGTCTGCTGCACCCTGTGGGTCAGCTCTCTGGCCAGGGATGGAACTCCTGCTGCAGTGGCTGCGGACAGCTTCATAATGCTGAGACTTAACCCCTTGCGCCAACGGGGAGGCCCTTATTCTTAAAACTTTGTCCTTATTTGTCCTTGTAACTTTGTCCTTATTCTTATAACTCTTATAACTTTGTCCAAGGGATCTTTCCTTGAACAGAACTCCTGAATTTTAGAATAATCAGATTCATCAAGAGGTCTTAGGGGGTATTTTTTTAAAAAAGATTTATTTATTTATGCATACAAGAACTGGGGTACAGGCCAGAGGTGCAGAGGGGTGAGAGGATTCACCAGAGACAGAGTGGGGAACAGAACAGGAGGATCTACTGAAATATACTGCTGAGGGGAGCAGTGGGGAGACAGGAGGTCTGCTGCGCCATGTGGGTATTGCAGAGGCTGCAGATAGCTTCACAGTGCTGTGCTTAACCCTTTGCGCCACCTGGGAGGCCCTAGATAATTTTCAGTTTCACTCTCATTGTCTTAGTTGGCCAAACCCCCTGGTGTGGCGTTCTCCGAGCCTTAGTGACTGTCTTCTTTAGTTCTGAGACATGTATGCCAGTGCTCCGCCAAGACTCCCACTGCTCCATCTTTGTTTTTCTCTCCCACTGGGACTTGTACTATCTATACTATTGTTCTATTCTATCTTCCTTGCTCCTCCATATCTTTCCTATTTTTCTCCTGGTTAGCTTGCCAGAGTTCTCCAGCTGACTTCTCCACTCACTGCTTCATCCTGAATCACACGATTCGCCCCATCTGCTTCAATCAATAAATGACTTTTGTCAATAATTGCTTTTATGTGTTTTTTTGGTGGGTTCAGTAAATTTTGTTTCACATTGCCAGTGATTTTTTCATGTCCTTCTGTATTTTTACTACGTGCATTCTCTGTGTGATGCACGAATTCTGCTTCAGATGTTGCATTTGTCTTCTGAAATGTCTCGTCCAGGGCCTGTGAGCTCGCACTGCCTGGTGGCATTTGTCGTGCTGCCTGAGGTTTCAGGAGAGGGGAAGGGGTTGGGCCCCGGGAGCCAGCACAGCACAGCATGTGAGGCATGGGGCCAGAACCTCCCTTCCGGTCCCTAGGGAAGCCACTATGGGGGCTCCCAGGTTCTAAGTGCCCATCCTAGGCAGCCTGGGGGAGATTGGAAGGGAAAAGCCCAGGGCCACCGTCACAACTCTTGTCCCCATGCCTTACCCAGCAGCGCCTTTGCAGTTCGACGTAACTCTGGTGAAGGCCGCACCAAAGTCAAAGCCAAGCAGTGACAGCACCTTGACAACACCTGGGAATGAGAACCAGCAGCAGGTTCCCTCTGGCATCTCGTCACCTCCAGCTCCAGCCCCAAGCCACCCAGAGACACACCCTTTACA